GGAAGCAGATAATTTGGGTTCAAATCTGAGTTCTAGTTGCTATTGATACTTAGGAAGTTACTTAAATCACTCTTCTTCATTAGGAAGAATTAGAAGAGAATTTACACAATTTCTCACTACACATCTACCCATCTACCTGCATATATGCCCAGACTCTTTTTCTGCTATTACTATTGATGACTTTTCCTTTTGTTCAAAGGCCAATTCTTCCACCTGTTTACTAGATCCTGCCTCATCTTGTCTTCTCAAGGACTTCCTCTTTCCTGTAATTTTTCTTTCTGACTGGATGTTTCCCATCACTATTACAAAATTCTCTTCTGTCTTTAAAACAAAAGAAAATATTTATTGACTCCATTTTCCTCTCCAACTACTGCTTCATCATTCTCCTTTTCTTTACAGATAAACTCCTCATAAACACTGCCTATTCTCAGTCTCTCCAAATCCTCCCTTGCTATACTTTTTTTCCTATCATGCATTTGCTCCTACCACTCTACAGAACTATTTTTGTCAGACGTCCCTGTTCTTAAAGCAGAGTTAATTTTCAGTCCTCATTTGATATTTTGATTACTTCTTCCTCCTTGCTATTTGGCTTCTAGTACATGACACGTTTCTTTTTTTCCCCTACTTTACTGGCAGCTCCTTTTTGGTCTCCATTGTCTCTAAACTTTGGAGCAGCCTAAGGGTCACTGTTTGAATTTCCCATTTTGTATTTACACTCATTCTGTGTGTGATCTCTTCAGTCTCATTGCTTTATATACCATTTATTTGCTGACAACTCCCAAATTATATCTCTAGTACAGATATGTCCACTAAATTCGTGGCTCATATACAATTTAACATCTCTACTTGGATGTCTAATAGGCATCTCAAACTTAGCATGTCCAAAATTGATTTCATTTTTCCACCCCTAACTTGCTCCTTTCACCGTCCTGCACACGTCAGTTAACAGCAACTCCTTTTTCCAGGTGAGGACAAAACAGCTTAAGAGTAATTACTGTCTGCTTTCCTCTCATGTTCCATATCCAGTATGTCATCAAATCCTGTTGGTCCTACTTTTACCATAGATCTGGAATGCAACTTCTTCTTTCCACTCCCACTGTTACTCTGGCCCAAGTCACAATTAAACTCTTGCCTAAATTATGACAAGAACTTTCTGACTCCATATTTTGCCTATGTTCCCCTAAGTCTATTTGCAATGCAGCTGCCATAGTGATCCTGTTAAATATACCGCAGAATATATGACTACTCTTTTCAAAACCCTACAATGGCTTCCAGTCTCACTAAGAGTAAAAGCCAGAGTCTTTAAAATGGCCTACAAGGCCCCACAGATAGACAATCCTGTTAACTCTCTAACCTTATCTATTAATTTCTCTCTCCTTCTATCCCAATCACACTGGCTTCCTTGCTGTTCTTTAAACATCTGAGCATGTTCCTGCCTCAGGGCTTTTGTACTTGCTCTCCAGTATTGCTCCTCAGCTAGTTAGCTGCATGACTAGCTCCTTCTGTTTTCATTCGGAAGTCATCGCAGTAAAGTCTTTTCTGAACACTATTTAAAACTGCAAAACGGCTGGGCGCCATGGCTCACACCTGTAATCCCAGCCCTTTGGGAGGCCGAGGCGGGCAGATCATGAAGTCAGGAGATGGAGACCATCCTGGCTAACACGGTGAAACCCCGTCTCTACTAAAAAATACAAAAACACAATTAGTCAGGTGTGGTGGTGGGCACCTGTAGTCCCAGCTACTCGGGAGGCTGAGGCAGGAGAATGGCGTGAACCCGGGAGGCGGAGCTTGCAGTGAGCTGAGATCACGCCACTGCACTCCAGCCTGGGCGACAGAGCGAGGCTCCGTCTCAAAAAACAAAACAAACAAACAAACAAACCAAAAAACTGCAAAACCTTCCCCAACACTCCCTATGCCCTTTCCCTGCTTTATTATCTGGGGCCATTAACATACAATATAGTACGGTTATTTATCCGGTGTATTGTCTTTCTCCCACCTTAGAACATAAGCTCTATGAATGTAGAGGTCCTTAATAGATACCTACTAAATAAATGAAGAAAAAGGTCACATTGTTTAATCTACACTGTGGGAGAATATGCAACATGCAGGTCCCAGTATTCTAATAATTGATAAATATAATATTCATCTGAACCCGAAAATACTTAATTTACTTTTTCATGGTGTTGAGCTATTATTTTTCACATTTAATTGATGTGTACCACCATAAAAATAATTTTTGTTTAGTGTTTGATTGATACATTTGTTTTAAACATGTGTCCCGTGGGAGAGTTATGCCAAATTACTAGATCAGGACAGCCATAAACAGATTAGAACTTCATTCAAACTCTCTGAAAGTCTCAAAGGCTGAAAAATGAATCATTACCTACTCATTTATTTATAACTTATTTCTATAAACATCTTAATTCTATACTATTATTGGAAAAAATGATAAAAACAAACTAACTCTAAGAAGGTGCACGCATTATCCAAGAATTGTAAATGTAGTTTATAACACTGGAGAGTCTGCTAAAATAAGAAAGCTCAATTACCCCTCCTAGAAGTTGCCAATTTATATTCTGTATTTCTTCAAAAAACCTTTGGTATCTACTTATTTTTGTGGTTTTTTAAAATCATAGTTCTAGTATCTTCATAGCTAGTAAGTAGAAATGGAAAAATATTTTTACTGAAATGATGTTTACATTCACATGCTGGCATAAAAGTAACATAATGCCTATAGCTAACACATGTAAGATATCATACTATGCCAACCAAGAAGCAATGAGCCTACTGTTTACCCGTGTATGAAGCTATATAACCCAGGCAACTTAACTAATCTTTTTAGGCCTTACGTACTCCATCTATTAAATGGGTGATATAGTTTGGCTCTGTGTCCCTACTCAAATCTCATTTCTAATTGTAATCCCCACGTGTAGAAGGAGGGACGTGATTAGATCATGGGGGCGGTTTCCCCCATGCTGTTCTTGTGAAGTGAGTGAGTTCTCATGAGATCTGATGGCTTTGTAAGTATTTGGAAGTTCCTCCTTCATTATTGTCTCTCCCGCTGCCACGCAAAGAAGGTGCTTGCCTCCCCTTTGCCTTCTGCCATGATTGTAAGTTTCCTGAGGCCTCCCCAGCCATGCAGAACTGTGAGCCAATTAAGCCTTTTTCCTTTATAAATTACCCAGTTTCAGGTATTTCTTTCTTTTTTTTTTTTTTTTTTTGAGACGGAGTTTTGCTCTTGTTGCCCAAGCCAGAGTGCAATGGCGCAATCTCAGTTCACTGCAACCTCCACCTCTCAGGTTCAGGCAATTCTCCTGCCTCATCCTCCTGAGTAGCTGGGATTACAGGCCTGTGTCACCACACCTGGCTAATTTTTTGAATTTTTTGTTTTTTTTCTGAGATGGAGTCTTGCTCTGTCACCAGGCTGGAGTGCAGTGACGTGATCTCAGCTCATTGCAACCTCTGCTTCCCAGGTTCAAGTGATTCTCCTGCCTCAGCCTCCCGAGTAGCTGGGACTACAGGCATGTGCCACCATGCCCAGCTAATTTTTGTATTTTTAGTAGAGACAGGGTTTCACCATGTTGGCCAGGATGGTCTTGATCTCTTGACCTCATGATCCGCCTGCCTTGTCCTCTCAAAGTGCTGAGATTACAGACGTGAGCCACCACACCTGGCCTAATTTTTTGTATTTTCAGTAGAAACAGGGTTTCACCATGTTAGCCAGGCTGGTCTCGAACTCCTGACCTCAGATGATCTTCCTGCTTCGGCCTCCCAAAATGCTGGGATTACAGGCGTGAGCCACCACTCCCGGCCTCGGGTATTTCTTTATAGCAGTGTGAAAATGACCTAATACACTGGGTTAATTACAGTGTCTACCTTATGGGATTTTGTGATAATTAAACACAGTGATGGTAAAGTAATGGCATAGTATCAGGCATGCAGGTAAATACTTGATATGTGTTAAGCGATATACACAATAAAGGTATTGAGGTTTCAGTTAAGGCTCTTTTAGTTGCACATACCAAAAGCTAACTCAAGCTAGATTTCATGTATTCAATACATACTGATTAAGTACCTACTAGGTGCCTTACGATGTGCCAGGCACTATGCTAGGAACTGGTAAGCAAAAAAACGGAAATACATAACATGGTTATCAGGTGCCATTTTGAACTCAGTCTTGCAGCTGAACTTCACTCAGAGAGAAACTGAACTGGGAACCAGAAAGCTGTTGGAAAACTAGGAAATATTCTGTCTATGTACTTCTCATTGTGAACTAGTTTCCATTTTCTTCTCAGTAAATCAGCTTTTTCTGCAATATCACCTTTTCTAAAATCAATTAGCTTTTTTATGCAATAAAACTTTGATGGTAGACTGAAGGTGACCACTAACAAGGTACTAAGTTCATATGTTACTGTTAGACCCACACCGAGAGACCAACTGCTGCTGTTTGTCTCCCTTTGATCTTTTATTTTAATTTCAAAGTCTTAGGAAAGAGATCAAGCATCCATCCTTGTCTTCACAGGAGGTCAGTTAACATAGAGTTATTGTGAGTTGAAAAAATACTCCAAATGGTATCTGCAGCAAGTATCATGCATAATTTATAAAAGAAAAAATTAAAAGTTTAAATTACTTTGCAAATTCATGTGTGTAGTGAGTGCCAGAAACAGGATTCAAATCCTAACACTGTGCAAGTGCTGGGTCACTACATGAAAGTGAGTGCCTGCTTAAATTTTGCATCTTAGGATTTTGGCTTGCCTCACCTTAGTGCCAGCTCTACTAATGCTTAATAGTTCTTTTTGCTGTACATGCATCTGCTTACTAAAATTCGGCACCTTTACAACTTCCAAAGAAATGCAATGTTAAAAAAACAGTTTCAAACATTCAGAGACTAAAACTTTTTTGCAAAGAGATACAGTATATAATTATATATGCTCTTATTGAGTTTGTATATTGTTATACAATTTACCTCCCAGGAGATTCCACTAAAAGCAGAAACTTACCTTCCCATTCTGTTGGAATATCCCCTATTTCATAGTCTACTTCTTTTTTATTTGCTCCTTCTACAATTCTCTTCTCTCGAATAGTTTGTCCTACAAGACAAAAGTCATTAATACATTTTTAAACGAACCTATGATACAGTAGTTACTACAATTAATCTTTTAATATTGCATAACCCCTTATATGGTTGAAGAATTAAATTAACAGGAAAAAGAGAATAGATTTCATTTTGAATTAGGCATATTACAAAAGGCAAATTCTAAACTACTGCAAAAATTTATAATTATTTACCACAGCGTACAAAAATTAATGGTAGGCCAGCTGCAGTGGCTCAAGCCTGTAATCCCAGCAATTTGGGAGGCCAAGCCAGGGGGATCCCCCGAGCTCAGGAGTTCGAGATCAACCTCGGCAACATGGTGAAACCCCATCTCTACTAAAATACAAAAAATTAGCCAGGCATGGTGGCACACACCTGTAGTCCCAGCTACTCTACTCAGGAGGCTGAAGCACGAGAATTGCTTGAGCCCGGGAGGCAGAGGCTTCAGTGAACCGAGATCGCGCCACTGCACTCCAGCTCGGGCTACAGAGTGAGACTCCATCTCAAAAAATAAATAAATAAATCTAGATTTAATGTACAGAAAAAGAGCAAAAAAATTAATCCTATAGAGCACTAATGGCCAATAAAAAATATTTTAATAATCAACAGCAAGTTCAACTCCTTCTGACTTACATGGATATCTTACAGGTAGCAATGGCTGCTGCAATCACCCAAGAAAATCGATATTCATGGCTGTTACCAAGTATGTAACGAACCACAAGACCCTGCAACCACCCTGTCCCTAATACACTGGCAAACCCAAGGGAACCAAGCCATAGGTTGAATTCTGTGGCCCATGTTAATCACTGGCTCTTTAGGGAATTTAAAAGAAGAATAACAAAACTGGTCATTGGTTTGGTTATGGCTATGGTAGACTGAAGGTGAGCACTTACAAGCTTCTAAGTTCATATGTTACTGTTAGAGCCACATTGAGAGACCAACTGCTGCTGTTTTGTCTTCCTTTGATCTTTTATCTTAATTTCAAAGTCTATGGTTCTTCAGATGAGAGATAAATATCTGGAGTGGAATAGCAGCAATGCAGAAACATGAAAGCAGAGAGAACAGTAAAATAAAAGTTGGTGAGAATTCAAGAATGTAATGAGAATGCCTATTGCTTATATCTCTCAATAAAAGTTGATTAGTGCATACTTTAAGTTTATACAGGAGGCATAAAACTATTTGTTATTTTCTTCTGTTTTCAGAAAGTCTTCATTATATCTTTCAAAACAGCTTTGTCAAAATGGTTGCTTCAAAACATGTTTCTTTCTCATTGAAACTTTGAGCCTGGGGAAACCAGGTAGGCTTTCTACTTCCTACTATTTAACAAGTGTGCCTGCCTACTCCGGGGAATGTGAGCTGAGACAGAGAAGTCATCAGTGAGGAATGATAAAGGGAGCAGCATGGCTTAACAGTGATCAGACCAGCCAGGGAGAGAAATTTGGACCTTACAAAATAGTCCTTTCTCTTACCACTCCTAAGCCAGTCTTACACTATGCTAAATATACTGACTTACATAATTAAATAAATCAAACTTGATGCCTACAAATCTCTCTCCTACACTACCTGAGATTCTATTAACTATAAATTCCTTTAAGTGTGGACAGGAAACTCCTGGGAGTGACTGTACAGGAGAAAGAAAGACATAAAAGGAAAGCCTGAGAAGACTCAATGGCTGGTTTTATTTCTTCCATCTTAGTAATATTAAGTGAAAGGCTGGGAGTTCATAGACAACCCATTAACGGCTAATAAACCTTAAGTATGTGGTCAGGAAGTTCTGCATTTCATTATGAGGTCATTTAATTAGGCTGATTTCATCCTAATGCAGAGGTTCCCCAAGTTCTACAAAGAGGAGTTACCTTTTGCTTATCTTATCCAGTAAATTTACAGTAGGACAAAGGACTGATAGTAAAAGTTGTAGGAAGAAGGATTAGGGTACAAGGAGCATACAACAATGACAACTGCATTTCTCTCATAGTAGAGGCTCAATATATGTACACATATTTTTACTAAAACGCTATTTACATTCACATATAAATACATCATAACAAATTACTATAAATTTAGTATTTATAATTTAGCATCATTAAAGTATGCTTATATGACAATTTTCAAAATGTGTTAGTCAAATACCTATGTCTTCCAATAGTCCTTATCTAATTACTGAAATGTAAGAATGACTTTTTGGAGTAACAGTTATAGAGAGGAAAACTATTGTCTAAAATAAAAATGCAAATACATGGGATCCTCAAAGTACATGTGTGGTCTATAAGTTTTTAAATGTAATCAATAAAGTTTAGCACATGGGGAGAGGATAGACAGGTCTATAGTTCTCAGTAGCAGTACTAAATGCATATATATTACAGGCATATCTGCAACAAAAAAATTAACTTTCTATTCCTACTCTTAGGTCTATCAACTTCATGTAAGGTCTCCCAAGGATTAAAAAAATCAAAAGTTATACCTATTTGTTTGTGTGTATGCATGTGTGTATGGAAACACAGGAAGAGTAATTAATTAGCTAGTTTAATTTCAGGACAATCACCGAATAAACCTTTGGTTAATAGGTGAAATAAATATTTTTTTTAAAAAGTATACATCTTTTAGTAATATAAAATAAAGCTATTAGCTTATTAAATAAATTCTTTGTAAACAGATACGTTTATTTCCTCAATAAATTACTGTAAAACTACTCCCTTTTTTTGGAATAAATACTACTTGTTCAATTTTTATGAATTGGGAATGGAATTTATGCCTCCCACTGAGTAAGGAATTATGTACAAACTGTACACTTACTTATACTAATATGCTTTCATGCAATATTTGTAAAGACAACTCTATTTATCATAGCAAAAAAATGTCTATCCTAGTGAATAGAGCAAGTTTAAGTACCTGCTCAAGTGTCAAAATTTTAGGATCTAATTTACATTTAAAAATTAACTTGGTAACAAAAACATTTAATACAATATATGTATAGGTTCAATAAGTACTAATACAACAAAAATAATTGACATTGGTGGACTCAATGAGTATTATTAAGCAAAAGAGTACATAGTTGTTTTATTTAATACTAAACAATATTATATTTAATTGAAACACAGATTTGAATTCAGGAAGGTAGTAATGGTCAACAATCTATGGATTTAAAGACTGTAGATATAACAGTATATTTTTCTAAACTTTAAAAACTTTAAAGCTGGTTGCTGTTGTGCTAATTGCCCTAGGAGGATGGCAGATTTCCTACTTCTTTGTTTAGAAATATATGGAGGTCATTTAGTTTTTAAGAAAAGAAAGAAAGGAAGGAAGATAAAAAAATAAAAGGTGAGATCCCGAGGCATATTGTAGATGACAGGGATTTAGGTAAAAGACAGATTTCACCTGTTCTACTGAGCTTCTGGGATAACGTATGAGCATCCTGGACACAGACATGGGAAGGAGCCTCTAGAGCAGAATCCCAAACTTCAGCCTTTCAAGTACCATCTTTGCAATTTTTGCATACTTTAGAGTACTATATCCTAATATTTTTCTTTACAATAATTTGCATTTTTCTTCAATACTTATTTTTACCTTACTCTAAAAAATATTCATGTAATCACTGACTTAATGTGCTAGTTGTGTTTTTTGCTCACCCATAAAAATAGATTTAAAAAATTTAAAGGGTTGTCTCTGTGTCATCTAAAATCATCTTATAGACCACACTTGGGAAACCACACTGCAGACCACATTGGTTTGTAGAGACAGGCCCAGCCACACATACGGTGATACAGGGCATAGAAACCAATATAACCAGTAGGAAATTCCTATGGACAGGGAATGGCTGTTGAATATCGAAGTCTTGGATTATGTTTATCCTTGATTTCAAAAAATCCTGTAATTCACAACAATGTTTTGTTAGGTTTGAAGGAAGAAGGGAGAGGTCCTAGATTTCCAGAAAGAGTCAGGGAAAAGAAAAAAAAAGCACTAATATTTATGGCATGTTTACCATGTGCCAGACATTGAACTAAGTTTTAGCTCTGCATGAGTAATTTCATTTAAGCTTTACAATGCTATGAGGTACTATTATTACTTCATTTTACTAAACAATTTATATATTTCATTTATAAAGAAATTGAGGCTTAAGAGAACTTAAGACATTTACTTGCTAGCAAACAGAAATTAGGATTTGAACATGGGTCTTTTAACTCCAGATCCTAGACACTTAACCACTAAGATATGCTGCCAGACTTTCAGATGACTACAAATGTTACATCTACAAATTGACTACATTTCAGTAGGTAAAATATAAGGGCTAAGCTAAAAGCAAAAGTTACTGCCATTTCTTAAAAGATTAAAAATCACCATTTCTTTCCAAAAAAGAAAAACCACTGCCTTTCATTAAGGCATTTCAGAATGCAGAAAACATATCTTAAATCACTTAACTTAACCCTAGTAATAGATTCATTAAAACTTCGCTGAAGAAAATCTGGAAAATACCAAAAAGTAGAAAAAAATAAAAATGACCTGTAAGCGCGTGACTCAAAATATCGTTATTAACATGTTACTCTGTTCCCTTCAGTCTATTATAACTAATAGATTATAAATACACAAACACATATACATGTGCACATGTATTTATGAGATTAAAATTGTATCTATATCCTTTTCCCTACCACATGGAAAATATGAAGCTTTTCATGTCATTGTTCCATAACTTAAAAAGGAAAATCAATATTCAGTTTCTGAACTTATTCTGACATTCTGAGGAAAAAGAAATTTCTTGTAAAAGTGTGTTAATAACTTTTTTTTGTTCAACTGTGTTTAAAATGTGAACATAAAAGTAAAAAAGATTGCCTTGTTAAGCATAGGCAGTAAAGCAAGTTAAAAAATACTAAAAATGAAAATTTATATCAATTAAAGATATGTATCAGATATGCCATACAAAGGAGGTTGTACAAATTAAGGCAGAACTTCAAGATCAGGAAGAAAGAAAGAGGTAAAGTATAGTGATCCATATGTTCT